CGGAGGTCAAACTTTCCAAAGATTCATACACGAAGTACTTCATGGACTGGATTTCGTTTTCGCATTTATTGATGATCTCCTTGTTGCAAGCCCTGATAAAGAAACGCACGTAACCCATCTACGCACCGTGCTACAGCGATTAGAAGACAACGGAATCACAATCAACCCTTCGAAATGCATATTTGGACAGCAAGAAGTTCAATTTCTTGGTTTCACCGTCAGCAAGGAAGGAATCAAACCGCCTGCCGAAAAAGTCAGAGCAATCATCGATTATGCGAAACCTAAAACTATCGAAGAGCTAAGGCGTTTTCTTGGGATGATAAATTTTTACAGAGAGCACATACCTAAAGCCGCTTACTTCACGCCTACCTTCACAACACGAAGAAAAAAGATAAAACGTCAATCGAATGGAACGATGAAGCCACGAAGGCATTTGAAGCTTGTAAAGTTGCGATCCAAAATGCAGCATTACTCGCTCACCAATCACATGAAGCAACTCTTGCTATCTTCAGCGACGCATCCGATCTCTCAGCACGAGCCGTTCTTCAACAATACAGCAATGGGAAATGGCAACCACTTGGCTATTTTTCGAAGAAGTTCTCCGATACTCAACGTAACTACAGTACATTCGACCGAGAGCTACTCGCTATTTACATGGCTATCAAGCACTTCAGAAAAACGTTCGAGGGTCGAAGCCTGATCGTTTTTACCGACCACAAGCCATTAACATATGTACTTCCAAAGAAACCATCACTATCGGAAACACCACGAAGAGCAAGACAACTTATTTTCATAAGTGAATTCACGACCGACATACGTCACATCAGCGGAAAGAACAACATAGTCGCCGACGCACTCAGTCGCGTACCAATCGACAGTGTAACGTGCCCTACATCAATCGACTATCATAAGATCACCGCAGCACAAGACGGAGATAGTGACAACATAAAACATCTATCGAAGCAAGGTAGCTTGTCCATCAAGCAAGTTACAATGCCAATGATTATATACTCTGAAGCCTCAACGACAACCATGCGACCATACCTACCAGAAGAATGTCGTCGCGAAGTCTTCAATGAACTGCGCAACATCAGTCATCCAGGTGTTAGAACATCAAGAAAACTCATCACTGAAAAATTCTTTTGGCCTTCAATGCAAGTGGATGTTGGAAACTGGGCGAAGCAATGCATTCAATGCCAAAAATGCAAAGTACAAAGGCATACATCAAGTAGCCTAGCTACATTTCCACCCACGGAGAGATTCGAACACCTGCACGTTGACATCGTCGGACCATTACCTACTTCACCGCAAGGACATCGTTACCTCGTAACAATGATCGACAGAACAACAAGATGGCCAGAAGCAATACCTACCGATGATACTTCAGCCGAATCCGTCGCGAAGATAATTTATGAAAATTGGATTACTCGTTTCGGATCACCTAAAACCATCACAACGGATCAAGGAAGAAACTTCGAAAGCAACCTATTCCTCAAACTTCTTCAAACTATGGGAATACAGAAGACACGTACAACAGCATACCACCCTCAGTCAAACGGAATAGTCGAACGATGGCATCGTACATTGAAGACCGCACTCAAAACTCGTTTATCTCAACATACCTACAAAGTGGATTGATGAACTACCTACAGTGCTACTCGGACTACGAGCAACACCGCGTGCAGACACTAGTCTTAGCGCCGCTCAGCTAACCTACGGCTGCAGCATAAGACTGCCGTGTGACTTCTTCAGTTCAGCAGCGTCAAACAAACAAGAAATGGATAAGGATTTCGTAACTCAACTTCGAGAATCAATCAACAAAGCCTTATCGTCGAAATGCACCGAAATGCAATCACACAGAAATAATAAATCAGTATTCATTCACCAAGATTTGAAAACATGCAAGCAAGTTTTTGTAAGAAACGACGCAGTGAAAAAACAATTTCAACATACCTACGATGGACCGTATAAAGTATTAGAGAGAAATAGCAAGACTTTTAAACTACAAATACCCGGAAGGAAATCTACGATTATATCGATCGACCGAATAAAGCCTGCCTATATTATTAACGAGGATACTTCAGAGATTTCATCATCATCATAAAAACCACCAGCGAGGAAGCTTGAAAATTCATCATCTACATCAAACCAGTTGAAACCTATTTTAAAAACTACGAGATACGGGCGAGTCAGTCAAGCCTCCGGTAAGCTTTCGCTAGGGGGAGAGTGATGTAGCAGCCATTTTGGACTAATCAACCCTAAACGGGAATAAATAATATATACTCTGCTGCTACCATAACGCGGAAGGCGAAGATAAAAAACATTTATTTCCTAACTATCCCCGGCTACTGAGATACTGCGGACTGCATATAGATAATTTGACGTTCTTATAAAGAAACAAGAAGCAGCCGCAAATATCATTCAGCGCCACATTGTCTTCACACACCGTTATCGTCACGTATCCGTCGACCAATTGTGAGCCGTTTCTTCAACGCCGCAGCTGTTCCGGAGCTGTGTTCCACGCCGCCGCCGCTCACTGACTACGCGCGCGCATTTTTCTTTTTTTATTTTGCGCCCGAAGCAAATATGGGCAACCCTCCGGAAAGCGGGGGAGGGAGGTTGGGAATGCTCATAGCATACCACGCAGCCGGCTGCGTGGTTATGTAGTGACTTTTACCCACTAAACCCAACCTTTTAGGAACTGGCTTAACGATCTAACTAGAGATCTCTAAGCCGTATACGAACGCGACCCTCCTTGGCAGAAAGGAGGGCGCACCGATCTGCATGACTTTTATAGCCCGGTCCAGCGTCGTAGCTTCGTGAACATAATACTAGTCTCACGCCGGGAAACGAAACGTACATTATAGTTGTATATTTTGATTAATTTTCATTGGTCATAATGTAAGAATTATAATTGGCTAGGGAAAATAAAAATTGTTACCATTGGTAAACCAACACCGCAGCTAGCCATATAAATATAGGCAAGGTTAACGAAATTATAGCCTTGTTGTCTCTCCTCGACGATGGAAATAATACTATATGTTAGTATCGCTTCTTATCTCGGTGGCGTTATATAAGTTAAAAGTAACTTTAAATTTTCTGAACGCATCCTCTAGTTGCACCTCATTCGCGCCTCAATAGTGTTGCCGTTCTAGCGACTTTCTCGCTAGATCTAGCGGATTTCAAGAATGTTTAGCGGATAAAAAAATCGTTTTAGCGAGAAATAATTATTTAGCGACTTCTAGCGACATTTGGACTTTTGAGATGGCGACTTTTTTTATAAAGTAATTCATTTCAAATAAGTTATTTATCATATGTCTAATTTTGTAATTTACCGTTGGTAACACTGTATATATAATATAATTTCACGAGAATTCCCGAACATAAACTAACAATTCAAAGTCGTCCATTCACTTTCATCTGTTTCGACCTTAGACCATGGTCTAAGGTTTCAACATACAAAAATGCAGCAGGTGTAAACATATTCGAAGATTTATGTAATTTTGCAATATTAATATTATCACTACCGCACTCAAATGCAGAATTTGAACGCGTATTTAGTGCTATGAATGTAGTTAAAAGCAAACTGCGAAACAAGCTATCAGAAAAAACTTTCAATTCCATTCTTCTGATTAGAAATCAGCAAAGGGGATATAGTAAGTCAGCTTAAATTCTAATTTCGCCCCCACTTCCCCGCGCATCGTATGCGACATGTTTGTAATCACTAATACTGTAAGTAGATAGGTTGTTAGATACTTATTTCGTTAGGTTTATCATATTTATGGATGTTTCTTTACGCTAACTCAGTCGCTTTTTGTTATTATCACGGTTATTTCCCATTTTAATTTTACGTCATCCTGTTGCGTGATGTGTATTCTGATCGTAAGCGACACAACTTCTCCCACCAAAAGCCTAAGCGATACTAACCACAGAGTACATTGTATATAATACTAACGGGGCGACAGGAATCAAGCTTCAAGACGCCGATAGTTTAGGTAATTTCTTTTTACAGTGAAAATAATGGTATTTAAAAAAAAGTAAATAACATAAGCACCGCTTTATAGTTAGTTCAGTTAGTATACAAAGTTTCATGATCTTATTTAAAGTATTTTATGAATAACAGCGGTTTATTGTTCAGTTTGGAGGTAACTTTGGATTTTTTTTCTATCGAGAAAATTTTACGGAATCGCGTTTTCGTCTAACATAGTCCTTAACATTAATCCTCAACTTTACCATATATTTATTTCAAAATTAATGCTGCAATACTTTCGGCATAACGGAGGATCTTGCTAAGCCATTTGAGGTTATATTTCCCCTTAAGGATTAAAAAAATAGAATTGCGCAACGAATGATATTCCCGAGGATGTTGTCGATACCAAGTCGATAAAGGCAAAAACAAAAAAAAAGATGGGAACTGGAGACATTGGCGAAGCTTCAACTTCCGCTTAAGTTCTTTTTGAAGATCTGGATTCTTACTTCGCTATTAATTTTGAAATTTAGGTACGAGAACGTACTGAGCTAATTGTTTTATTTTTAATAAGATGACTAATGTTCAAATGTGGTTTAAAGATTTAAGATTTACTTTTTTACAATGTTTTTTATTTTGTACGTGAATAATTTTTGTTTTAGTTGTCATATCATTAACCTACACTATAAATAACTGATTTATATGAAATAGAGTCCGCTCCTTTTAAGGTTTTACTGAATTTATAGATATAGATTATCGGTATTCATTGACCATTTGGCAAGATTTTTTTATTAGCCCAACGGTACCACGAAAATATACCTAGGGATATCTAGCGGATTTTAAGAAAAAGAAAAATCCTGTTTCTGGCGGATTTTTTCTGTTAGTCTAGGGACTTTAAAATTTGTAGAACGGCAACCCTGCGCCTCAATCTGTCAACTCATTCGGTTTTTATGTCGGACGGCGTTACTACGTCTACGTTCAACAGCGAATTAAGTTTTTTAGCTGGGGCATTTTCCTTTAATTCCTTATTAAAATGAAAAGAAAACGTGACAAAGATAGAAGTGACGACAAGATAAAAAAGAAAATAAGAAAACTTATGAAAAAAGTTAAAAAACTTTCAAAACAGCAGGGCCGTAAGTAGCTTATTATTGCATATATAAAACTGTGTTAACCCGTAGCATTATCAAATAATACCTAGACATACAATCATTATTATTAACGTGGTTTCCTACCCAAAATCAGCCGAGACGAAATACTAACTTGTCACTACCTGTTCTCCGTTAAGACGCATAACGCATTACAACGCCATTTTGTTTTATTGTTTATTGTGTTTTCACCTCTCCGAGCAGGAAGTCCGTTTTACACATTCATCACCACTACGATTTTCATGATGTTTTCTCAGATTCCGCCTACATTTTACGGTTGACTCGGCAGGTGAGTCGCCGGCACTGCAATATAAATTGAATCGACTCGCCACGCGAGTTCACTGGCACTACGTAAGGGTAAATTCTATGTTTTGTAATTTTTGTAGCCGTCACAGTGTACTTAATGTGTTTACGCAATTAAAAAGTGTTTCAGGACTATTCGGCTTGTAAAAATGGCAAAAAAACTCTTTGGATAAAATAAAAGGTAATTTTGTTTCTTAATTTAAGCAGTGATTGTCAACCTTTTAAATTGTGGTTATTGTTAAGGTTATACTTTTGAATTTCTAATACTTGTGAGTAGACAATTTTACGCTGAAATAATTTCATACAGGCTTTCAGTTTTAAGAATATGGTATCAAATTAAAATGTATTATTTTTATTGTGAATACGACGAATTTAATTGATAACAATTTAAAAAAATCGTTTTTTAAAACGTTTAAAATCTACCGAATTAAAATTAAATGATAACTTATTATGGCAAGACAAAATGTGAAGTTTACAAAATATTATATTGTATTAGTTTAAATCAAGGAAAGATTTAGATTGAGTAACACTCTGATAAACTAAACTTCCCATTTAATAAATAAACCAAAATGGAGAGTACTAACCGATTTTTAAAATTGAAGCTGTGGAAACTTTTGACCATAACCATTTCCAGACCAGGCCAAGGTAGACAAGAACATTCAAAGTCCAGACAGGTAATCAAAACACGAGAGTCCAGTAAACGTAAGCCAGGTCACAAAGGTAGAGAACAGATAAACGCATGCGATGACGAAGGGGTCGTATAGAGCACTGATATTGAAAAAAAGTTTACAGAAGTTTACTAGAGTAGGCAATGACGTCACAAATAGGAATACAATGGACGAAATATTTAGTTGCAAGTGGATTCTTGGAGTGCGATTTAATATTAGCCAATGAGAGCTTTGTAAAAAACAATGTTATCAGTGCTTTTGTTCTTCAAACACAACAGCGCGCCGGTGTTTTTTTGTCGGCTGTTTTATCAATGCCGACCCTTTTTTTTTAATTCATTTTCAACCCTATTACAAAGATACAAGATTTATAATATGGCTACTAGATATGTGATCTCAAATATTACGATAACTTTGTATTTCTAAAGCTTGTTTTTTATTCTAATGCAACTAGTTTGTTGTATATTAGTTCCATATCACAAGTATGTAGGTAGTCCATGCTACTATGTTGACGTCGTTGTCTAACATGTAAATGGTAGAGGATCTATGTCAGGGAACTCACCTAGCGAGTTCAAGGCATTGCAGAATAGTTTGTTTCCTTTCAAATTTAAACGGGGTCTCCACACCGGCCCACGACGTAAATCCTTAGTTTAGTATATATTTAGTCTAAACTATAATTTTAAGCGGAAAATACGGATGCATTTTGGAAATATCGGTGAAAAACACTGAACTCGCCAGACGAGTCGTCGGCACTGGAATAAGATTTACGTGAACTCTCCGGGCGAGTCGGAGGCGCTGAATGTGTTAATACATTGAACAATATTATACCTCATCTCATATAAAATAGAATTGTTGGAAGTAATATAATAATAAATAGGAACCTATCTATAGAATATATATTTGAGTTGGTCTATTAAACAGGTTGCATTATAAGAAGTAACCAAATTAATTTTTTTAAGTGTGTAATTCATTGGTAGCTATTGCTGTAGAGCATAGGACCATATGTAATCTTATTGGACCAAGCTATTGTAGTTGCTACGGATGTAGAGCATAGGTCTACAAAAACAAAAAGATTTTACATTATGCCATTGGTTGCTACGGCTGCAGAGCCTAGAACCATAAAACATACATAAAGTCTAATATTAGACATGGCCCCTAAATTTGCATAAAGAATGTATAAACATTAAGGTAATTCGTGTTCTGTTTCTTAACAGTGACATCTGAATCCGATTCAGAGGTATCTTGGCCAGAATAAATGGAAAATGATATCTTAATAGAAAAAGAAAACCCTGAGGAATCTGAATCACCTCAATCGGAATTGCATATTCTGGGAAATCTAAATAGCTAGGCCTCTACTAGCGAATCAGGAAATCCGCCTGATAAACTTCCAGAGTTCTCTATTATGAAGAACCAGAATTTGTCAAAACAGGCACGTATGGTAATTCATAATGCTGTGTTAGTCCCTACTTTAATGTATGGTAGTGAAAGCTGGGTGTGGCAGAAGAAGCACGAAAGTAGAATAAATGCTGTAGAAATGCGGTCTTTAAGGAATATGCTAGGGTGTAATCTGAATGACAGGGTGAGAAATTGCGTGATAAGAGATAAATGTGGTATGCAAGATGATGTTGTGACCAGGATTAAGAAAGGAATGCTTCGGTGGTTTGGTCACGTAGAAAGAATGAATGAGGAAAGAGTGACAAAGCAAATTTATATGGCAGATGTGAATGGCCGAGTCGGGAAGGGACGCCCTAGGAAAAAGTTTATCGACCAAATTGGCGATATTTTGAAAATGGGCCACGTTAGAAGTACCCTTAACCGACGAGCATGTATGCGTAGATATATGGATGTAAAGGAGGCGAAAGAGGTATGTCAGGATTGTACCAAATGGAAGTCCGTAGTCTCTGCCTACCCCTCTGGGTGACAGGCGTGAGTGTTTATGTATTATGTAAACTTCCAGAGGTACAGGATTTGGATGCTGAGGCATTAGCAGTTCTGGGTGAAATAAACATAGAACAGAAAAAAGGTCCACCTCTTCACCCTGAAATTGCTAACAGATGGACACCCATTCTGTGCAAAGGCCTAAAAAAGGAAGATAAGAGAGAGCTTATGCAAAAATATATGCCATTCGAAAATGTGCCAAGTTTAATAGCACCAACTTTGAATCCTGAATGTATCTCAGCAATTTCAGCATCTATGCTAAAAAGGGATACAATTATTAAAGAAAAACAAAAACAAATTGCTGCAGTATTGACTGCTATTGGCTCTGGCTTAGGGTCCATATTAAAGAACGGAGACAAAATAGAAATAATCCGTAATATAAATGATGCATCCAAACTATTATGTGATTATTTTCAATCTGAGATCAATAATAGAAAAATTTTAATTACTAATGCAGTGAATCACAACCTTAAAGAGACTCTAAAGGGTGACTCAGATATGTTCTTATTCGGAACAAACTTAGCAGAAAGAATAAAGAATGCAAAAATTATACAGAGATCTGGAAAAGATCTGAAAGAAAAACAGGAGCGACTTAAGGGGCCAACAAAGATTTTAAACTGGCGGGGCCCTCCTCAGTTGAGCACCAGGCTGGGGGGGAAGAGAGTAACCAAGCCCAAAAACAAGCAGTAGCAACAACAAAAGAAACCACTGCCTCCTCGACGATATTAGAGGTTCCTACACCACAGGTAGGAAGACTGCAATATTATATAAATAATTGGCAAAGATTGACTAATGAACCTGTCATACTCAATTGGGTTAGGGGATATTCAATTCCATTTGAACACATTCCTATACAAAATAATTTTTCCTTAAATAATAAATTTTCATTAACTGAGTTAAGTCAATTAAAAATAGAAATTAATAAGTTGTTGTTTATACAGGCTATAGAGACTTGTGAACCAGTACATGACCAATTCTGTTCACCAATATTTTTAGTTAGAAAACCAAACGGGGACTTTAGATTTATTTTAAATCTAAAGGAACTCAATAAATTTGTTAAAATGGTCATTCAAATTAGAGGACTATCGTACAGTATTAAAATTAATTAACAAAGATGATTATTTGGCAACAATTGATATTAAAGATGCATATTACATGATAAGTATTAAGTTAGATCTTAGGAAATACCTACGTTTTTATTTTAACAACAAACTCTATCAGTTTAATGTACTCCCTTTCGGCCTTTGTACAGCACCTTATGTTTTTACAAAGATTTTAAAACCAATCAATGCCAGGTTAAGAGAAGATGGGTTACGCCTGGTTCAATATTTAGATGACTACAATGAATATGTTGAAAAGATACAGTTAACTCTAAAATTATTTACTAATTTAGGATTTATAGTTAATATTAATAAGTGTAGTCTCACCCCTCACACCAGTGCAAATTCTTAGGACTAGTTTTCAATACAGAAAACATGTCTATTTCTATTACAAGAGAAAAAAGAGAAAATTGCCTTCGCTTGATCAAAAAATTAAGTAGGAAACCATTATTTTCTATAAGATTTTTAGCTCAGGTGTTAGGAACACTAGTATCTGTTTGCCGAGCAGTTAAATATGGTATGTTATATACAAAACTATTTGAGCGACATAAATACTTATCACTTTTAAAATATAATAATAACTATGAGGCACAAATTTCACTACCTAACCATTGCAAACAGGATTTGAAATGGTGGGCTGAAAAAAGTTAAATATTCTACAAGCCCAATAAGAAAGAGTGATTTTGTTTTAGAAATACACACTGATGCTTCCAACACGGGTTGGGGTGCCTCATGTGCTGGACAGACAGCTAGTGGGCCCTGGACAGAACAAAAATCAAAATTACATATTAATACTTTAGAATTAAAAGCTGCTTTCTTCGGGCTAAAGAGTTTCACAAAGAATCTAAAAAATATTGAAATATTGTTACGAATAGATAATACTACTGCAATAGCTTATATAAACAGGCTAGGTGGTATACAATACCCCCACTTGTATGATATTGCTAGGCAAATTTGGCAATGGTGTTGTGACGGCCCAATATTATTATTAATAATTAAATTCAATATAAAGGGGGCGTCAAAAATAGTCTTAAAAGATATATATTAAGCAATTAAGTTAAATTAATAAACATAAAGTTAATATATTTCAGACATTATCCCAATAACATAGTAAATTAAAGGCAAAATTATTGTTTTTCGTAATAAATAAATTTATTTAAAAACTTGAAAAAATATTTAAAATAAGATAAATAATAGAAATACAAGTCAAAAAATATTATAAAATTAAGTTAAATAACGTTTATAAGATAATTAGAAAATTTGTTAAAAATTGTTTAAGTCATGGGAGGTGTTCGTGTATAAAAGAAAATTTTTCTAAGTTGTGGAAGGAGTTCACGTATAGATGAAAGTTCATGTATTAAAGAAAATTTTCCTGGTCTATGATACAAAAGCATTATTATTGAAGGTCTCCTTGATGCATAAGCATTGTATGGGGTGGTCGGGTGACTGACTGCTCCTAGTACTGTAGCAAAATGACTAGTCCTTATTAGGGACTTGAAAAGGAATATTATGGTGGCGTGTGTGCTGCTTCACGAGCAATTGGTCCGAGGTAAACTTGGACTCGCTAACCGATGTGTCCTAGACATATCATCTTAGTGCCGGTGGTAAGCGGGTTTGTTGTAGCAATACGGCTTTCCCGTGGACATCGCACACCCATACCGGTTGTGGGCGGCGTCGTAGCGCATAGCGATGCGTCGTCTATCTTTCGGATTGGGAAGATGAGTGTGTTTGGTAGCACTTTTAAGTGTAACAGGCATACTCAACTTCATGTCTTGGTGCATTAGCGCTATGATACATGGAGTTTTGTCCACTGGTGTCTTAGTAGCGTGCTACTATGATACGTTGGTGCAGTTTTATATAACAACAATCTTAGTGCCGGTGGTAAGCGGGTTAGTTGTAGCAATACGGCTTTCCCGTGGACATCGCACACCCATACCGTTTTGGGCGACGTCGTTGCGCATAGCGATGTGTCGTCTATCTTTCGGATGGGGATGAAGAGTGTGTTTGGTAGCACTTTTAAGTGTAACAGGCATACTCAACTTCATGTCTTAGTGCATTAGCGCTATGATACGTGGAGTTTTGTTCATTGGCGTCTTAGTAGCGTGCTACTATGATACGTTGGTGATATTTTTTATATAACAACAATACCAACTTTGTTACCAAAGTCGATAGGGATCATGTTGGGTGTGTTGTGAAGGGGCGCCACCAGTATGATAGTTGCATTGATGCTTACTGCTACTTGCGGTATTGCGTCTTGTGATGGATCTGCGGGTGTGCTGCGCCTGATTCGACGCATTCTTGTGGTTCTGGTCGATGGAGGTATACAATTAACATCTTAGTGCCGGTGGTAAGCGGGTTTGTTGTAGCAATACGGCTTTCCCGTGGCCATCGCACACCCATACCGTTTGTGGGCGACATCGTTGCGCATAGCGATGTGTCGTCTATCTTTCGGATTGGGATGATGAGTGTGTTTGGTAGCACTTTTAAGTGTAGCAGGCATACTCAACTTCATGTCTTAGTGCATTAGCGCTATGATACGTGGAGTTTTGTTCATTGGCGTCTTAGTAGCGTGCTACTATGATACGTTGGTGATATTTTTTATATAACAACAATACCAACTTTGTTACCAAAGTCGATAGGGATCATATGGGTGTGTTGTGAGGGGGCGCCATCCGTATGATAGTTGCATTTATGCTTACTGCTACTTGCGGTATTGCGTCTTGTGATGGATCTGCGGGTGTGCTGCGCCTGATTCGACGCACTCTTGTGGTTCTGGTCGATGGAGGTATGCAGGTGGTGATGTCTGCTGGGATGTACGTGGGAGCTTGGGATGGTGTAAGCCCGACGATAGTCGTATTGATGCTTGTTGCGTTCTGCAGCATTGCGTCTCTGCGATGGTTGTTTGGTGGGACGCTATTCTCAATGGCGCTCTCTGCGTCTTGGATTGACTCACGCCTGAGTAGCTTTGCCCAAGTCGGGTCCCTTCATTACGGGTCTGCAGACTGTCTGCCCTCCACGATGTTTTATATAACAACATAATATTATATCTCTGTAACTTTCCCACCTTTGAATGATTGAAGGTAACTTGTCGGTGGGTGAGACAAACATGATCGAAAATGCATTTACTCAACGTCAGTGACACAAACCCTTTCTGATGGCGAATTATTACTCTTATCTTATAACTGCCTTTTGGCTATATCTGCCGTTGTATTGGTTGGTGGAGCATATGTGTCGACCTCATGCGGGTGGTAGCTGGCGGGAGGATCTGAGGAGACTCTCAAGGCTGCGGCCGAAAGCCGCACAACGTGGGACCCCATTCCCTTGAGGTGAGCGGTAGACTCATGACACGCTCTGCGGCTAGTAGCCGTGGTGATCATGCAATTGGTGGTGATGCCATACACTTACATAACGTCTGCAGGAGCGGCGGTCAGGCAGGTGGTGGCACTCACGGAGGGTTTACGGCCAGTGTGCCTATTTGCCTAAACCGTGTGACGTACATTCACTGTGGCTGGATTCGTTCGTATTTTGTTTGGCGTTTACACGCATTGACATGCGCGACTTCGGTCGATGTTTGTGCTTACGCACTAACAAGGGGCCAAGCCTCTTTTACTGGTTCGCCAGTTATTTTGCTGTGGACTACGGTCCAGTTCCTGAATTAGCGTTCCCTTCGGGGGGGAGTGCATCAAAATGGTTGGCACTCACCGTGCACGGCGTGTGTGGGGCCGTGTACCTCCCCCTACATTTTTTTTCAATAAATGTAGGAGAGCGAAGCCCTTGTATTTTGTATAAATATATTTTGAGCCTTTTCCGAGCGGGAAGGGATAATTAATAATGTAAACCTGATGCAAGTGGAATAGGGACGTTTTATGTTCTTAACCTTTTTCGAGCCCTGTCTTCGTGAACGGGGTTCACTTAGCTTATAAGGCACTACCAACAGCTTTCAATTGCTCTAGTGAATATTCATTCTTCCAAAAGACACCTAAAAGAACTAATTTACTAAACAAACAGAACATAAATAAGGGTCCTAACTAAGACGATCACGTCAAAATATTACAAACGGCCTATTATTAAACCTTTAGAAAGATCATTTAGAAAGATCTAAACATAATTTATTAATCCTGGTCACATATATATAATGTTATTGAAAAGGGGTAAATTAATTATATCTAATATAATTATTATTATGAGAGAGGGGGGGGGGAAGCGTTACAGGCCCGGCTGCACGGTCTATTATTTGGTGCCGTGACCAGGATATATTTTAAAAAGAAGGTCGTCTGTATAAGAATTATGAAGTAGGCGTTATGCCTACAATTTGTTGTCCGTGAAATGGAGAGGTGTCTTGGAGGATGGTGTTTGCTGGGGGTGGTTGAGAGTCTGGGGGTGGGGCTTTAATATTAATATTTTTGTTTGTTATAGATGGTGTGCGCATAGAAATCTAAGACAAAATAAACTAATAAGTGAAATAAGTGAAAAGTACTCAGTAGCATTTGTATAAGTGAAAGACATAACAGTGCTAAAATCTGGAAAAGTATAAACATATAAAAATGGCTAAAACAAAGAAAAGTTCAAAATTAGTGGAGGCTAAGCCTA